ACATCAAACATCATCCTAGTCACAGACGTCCTTCGGGTCACAATAACCTTTGCTATTAATGAAAGTACACTTTAGCAACGTCAAAAAATCATATTTCAAATGAATTGTTTCCTGTCTATATGCAGATCCCTTTTAGGCATCAGATCATGACAGTAAAAGTACCAGGCCTATTATTATATTTTCTATATTTCACAGTTACATAATTATTTGTTCTTCCTTTTCGTTATCTGACACTTCAAAATGCAAATTTCCATCTTTTATTTTTTAGTTTATGCATTGGCATCTTATACAATCGCGCCTAATAATGTTTCGTCCATCAGTGATTGAGGGCTAAAAACCTGGTTCAGTGACACTTCCTGATTTTAATCCGTTGTTAAAAGGATTCATTACCTGCAGGAGAAAACATACTTGTCCCCGTTTAATATTCTATTCGCTCGGATCCGTGTTCCCCGCCAGCAAACATGGAGACTTGCGCAGCTAATCCAATATAACGCGCGGGTTCTTTCAACGTGTGAAACATTGTTAAGGTGTGGACAGACTTGAAATAAGATAGGAGATATTGGAACCTGGTTCATGGACTAACTCAGTGCATAACACTCATCGGGCGGATATAGGTGACATTTATCTTCAGTAATTCCAACTGAGCATAATAATTGATGCCCCACGTGAATTGTTGTAATGTTTTCACTGTGTGTGAAAAGGCTCTTAATAATGTTACCTGATATGAAAACATTTTCGTAAATAAATGATGATGTCATTAGTTGTTCATGACGTCATAGAGGTTTATCTGACGTCAGAATTATAAATTGTCTGAAATGACTGACTGACACATGACATTATGTTTCTACGATTCCGAAAAAAAATGTTATGCAATATAGAAAATAACCTATTCGCAACTCGGTATTACGGATTTTCTTTTCCCTTGTGAAATAATGGTCATACAATGTCTTAAAAAATTCAGTGAGAACAGATAATCCGTTATTCCTTGAAACGTATACGTATTCTCTAAATATCCCTACTGAATACGAACATCATCAAATAATACACCACTATATACAAATTTGGATTTTGTTTATTTGAAAATTCAAAACCCCGCTTTATATATGTCCTCAGGTTATTATCTGTTGTATGTCATATTTAAACTGAAGAGAGACTTTTAGAACATAAATACTTGACGCTCACGAATATTTTTGTAATTATAATGGTGACATTGAGCAATCCATAAACAGCCAAGCATTTCATCAGTTATCAAATGATCTGACTCTCAAAAGATTTACAATAGACGACGTTGTGGTTATCTTTCAACTTTATCGTTTACATAAGAGTGTGATTGAGTTGGGTTTAACGCCGCTTTTAACAGTATTCCAGTCATATCACGGCGTGTCAACTTAATGTGGGAGGAAAGCCCCAAGAGATGCAGGTCTTAGACGTTTACCACTTCGGTGAAACCAACGAACACGGGTATGGTGCTGACAAACCTAGAAACATAATCGGGGCGAACCGGGCGAACCGGGATTCGAACCCACAATCATAGGTTTCTGGCGTGCCTAAGGGACGCAACTCTGCACAGCGAATTGCGGCGCCTTAGACGACTGGAGCACCCGTGCCCCACGTTTACATAAGAACAACCCCCCCCCCCCCCCCCCCCAACCCCCCAAAACACACCAAAAAAACAAGGATCATAAGGAATCTGTAATAAAAGAGTCCACTGTACGTGTCCGACTACATCATACACAGATGTCTATGAATCACTCTCAGGGGCGGTCGGGTAGCCAGGTGGTTAAAGCGTTCGCTCGTCACGCCGAAGACCCAGGTTCGATTCCCGACAAGGGTGAAGCCCATTTCTGGTGTCCCCCGCCTTGATATTGCTGGAATATTGCTAAAAGTGGCGTAAAACCATACTCACTCACTCACTCACTATCAAATAGTGATGGTACAGCGTGTTCGCGGAAAGACGATTATCCTGCCCCACCGGTGGCAACCTTCACACACGCATGCAAAGACAATTCTTCACATGAAAATCTCTAAACAAAAGTGATGGCTAAAATGCCCGACTTTGGCGTTTCACTTATTTTTTTAGGGTTGAAGCCTTACGCTATTTTGTACAACTGCCTTTCTCTGAATCAATAGAATTCTTTGTGAGGCCATATCAATTGCATAATATGAAATATTCCGTCTCTCAGTTGTCTCAGTATCATATGTTCATTGGTTCGAATCCACCCGTCGTCCAGATTATGATACTGGTTTGCCAGCACCACAGGTACCCGGACCGCCTCCGTGGTCTAGTGGTAGAGCGTCCGCCCGGAGAGCGCAAGGTCCGGGGTTCGATCCCCGACCGCGTCATACCAAAATACGTTAAAAGATGGTACTTGTTGTTACCCTGTCTGGCGCTCGGCATTAAGGGGCTGAGACAAGGACTGGTTGGCTCGGAGTCAGTATACTGTGTCCGAGTGGGGTATTCATGTTAAACTGCGGCATGGTATCTCAGTGTGCTAGCACTATAAATCGGCATCAGTCCGGACTAGTACAAGCAGCCACACAAACACACATACGTACATGCACGTCGCTATATAAGTGCAATAATCTTGGACGCAACGTTAAACCCCATTTCACCTCACCTCACCTCACCCCACCACAGGTACCCATGGATTGAAAAAAAAGTATCAACGACCTTCATCCTCTTGTATGATTCGAACGTTGTTCCCTTGTATTTTCACAGTACGTCGTTCTCTTAGATATTCAGTTGACACCTGCTATGACAGAAACGGCTTAAAAACCACATTCCTCACTCACAGAAATATTTACAGTCGTAAGGGGATATGCCACAAACTGATCATAGAGCTGCGACTAACCCCATCGTAAAGAAGTGTACAGTCGACGGCGGTGGTAGCGCTATGGTCACTTTGTGGAATGAGATCCCCAGAGTGTCCACAGGGCTGAGCTTACGTACACTCCGGAAGACCTGTCAGTCAAGTATAGTGGCATTGTAGCACATAGCACTCGGATCCGATTTTGTAAAGCCCTTACTAGAAGATCATTGGCCCTCGTCGACAACATGATCGTAGAGCTATATTGTGACTATCGGGGTCTCTTTGATCTCACGACAGTGGTCACACCATGGTGGCATATGTGGAATAGCTTCCTGGTTTTCAAAGACCCATTTTAAATAATCATGACTTTCAATAAAACTCGTCCATACTGAGTAATGGTTTCAGGTGGCGGGTAAGGATTGGAAAAATCATTTTCCAACGGTTTCTGAATAACGGTTTCAAGGTTCTAAGTGTGTGGACTCCGAATGAAACACGTAATAGCCTCAGTGATAGTGTCTTCATGCAATTGTATGTCGTCGAACAGCCACTGTACGCGTGATGTTTGTGATGACGTCATCAGTTGCCAACAGGTTGAACATCCAGTTTCGCTGACTCAAAATGATTGCTGTCTAACATCTAGGCGTGATTAGACCATTGCTATCATTGTAGAAATTGCTATCATCTCAATGAAATATATACCCAACACAATAGACCTCAGAGGACACGATATCGCATGTTCAAAAGTATCGTTGCTTCTTCGGATCATTTCTAATTCAGATTTTGACTGATTATTTAGGCATTTCTCCGTTCGCGAAATGGCTGCGTATACATTCTAGATCTGACACGAATATCAGTTTTGAATAATTCAATACAAGAAATATCAGCAATGTCGTCGTAACTATTTGAGGGTATAGTATATGGGGAGATGAGCCAGTACTCCCCAGATGCATCTGCCATCCACGAGGCAACCATTTCAGTTATAGGTCCCCTTTCTTGTATGTTAATATTTGAACAACATCCTTTATGTTATTCCTGCTGCCAGGACCCAACCTCCCACACATAGATCTACCACATGAAGTCGTACAGGACTGTTACATACTACGTTTACCTATATTGAATTTTAAAATATTTATTCAATGAGTATTAATAAGTTACATTTGCCATTTACCCCGCAAAGTGTTTACCACATGTATAATGTAGATGTAGGACGTATATTTAACATCATTATCTGGAGAACTCTGTTCCGGAGAAGATGGCTTTTGTTGCTGATAGAGATCGGAGGTAGCATCACGTTACATTGACAAATAATGTATTAAAAACTGGAAACTGTTCTGGAAATATATCATGAAGACATTGTGTCCTTGAATGTCAACGAAAAGTGGTTGGATCTTAAACAAAGGTAGGTTAAATGTACATTCTTCACCGCGCCGAAGTAAGCAGGGTTGGGACATACATGGGGATATCCGCGAAACGTAAAAAACTAAAGCCAGTACCCGTATCTGTTTAGACGTCCCACTGCTGTGACACAATGGAATATCGGAGAATGACAAACGCACAATGTAAAGATAATTCCTTATTATTATTGGAAAACAATATGCTGTGTAAGTTTCGAATGAAAAAATTCATATATTCAACAAACACAGTGCACAGTGGTTCTGGTCGCCAATCTAATTACAACGTTTCACAAATACAATTTCTGAATCATCACAAATTATCTGTCAATATATATCAAGATTGATTTGTATCATCAGATACAGATTGTAACATATTGCTGTTTTAATTAAGAGACGCATCCTCGGTAAAATGTTATTAAATACTCTGTGATATAAATGCTCTTTGTATTGTATTAATCATGTTTTTGTTTATTTCGTTGCTAAGATTCGTATGTTGCAAGAACCATTTTCCTTTGGACAATGCAGTATATTTTATCTGATGTCATCATACATATCATTGTTATTAAGTACATGTATATCATTGGATACATCATTTAAGTATCTATCAGCATCATAACTGACAAAGGTGGACAACCATACGGTAATGAATGCTATTCACAGTCGTGATGGATACGGAACTGTCGACGAGTTCAGCGATGCTAATCTTTGATTATCAATATAGGATCCGGCCTAGCCTAATACGCCTCTTTATTCCATACAGTAATACACCGGGGCTGACAAAAGGGAAATGGTGCTAGGTCGTGGCGGTGATCAGCGCCACAGTCACAACAGCTGAGGGAATTGTCCAATAACAGTCTTCACACTCTTAACAGTTTCAGTGTATCAACCCGTGTCGCGCCCAGGTACTTGACAGCCTGAATAGATCCCCTTAGGCCCTCCATCAAATCATCTCTGTCACACACACAAAGGGAGGCCACTGTCATCAAGATAGACTCGTTCACGATTAATGGAGAACTTTGATTTCAGCTAAATTAGCTTTGAAATGTCTTGATTGTTTCCTAGCCACTGGAAAGAAACGTTTTAAAGCCATTTGAAGCAATTGAGATGGTACCCCAACACAATCAACCAGATAACATATTGCATTGACGCTATTTATCTACTGGTATATTCCTGGCCAGCTGTTTGGCAATGGGAATGGGAATTCTAGCATCAGCTGACTGACTGACTCTGGAAGCGGTTGTGCATGGCGTGCACATGCATTCATCCTGCAATGGCAATAATTACGACTAGCCGGGTCGGAGGATGCCAATCTCACCCAGCACTCAGTTGCATCACTAGGTGTTTCATTGATTCGACAATGTCACCGATGAAGGAGGGACGAATTACGGACTAGTCACGGCTGGGAGCCAGGTAGGTAATATTTGTTTCATGGATAGTGCTACGTGTTCACATAGACATAACTATTTAAACATTCATAATATATCATTTTCAATATAATATGTTTCGATGAGAAATGTGGTCAGAATGGAGTCAAACACAAGAACGTGCAATAGTAGAATAAATATGCCAAATATCTATTCACTAGAAATTGAATAATTATATTCGAAATATATATGTATTAGTCATAATACTTGAGGTTAGATTAAGGTTAGATTGAGGTTAGATTGAGGTTAGATTGAGGTTAAATATTACCATCATATACATTTCAGGATGTTGCCATTCTCTTGTCCTCAAATTTCCTTATGACACACCAATGACACTATATACAAATAACTATCATTTCCGTATTCAACGATTATATTGTTACAGGAATTATGTTTTCACAAAAAACAGTATTTAATATAACATTACTATGTGGGTGAATGTGCTTACTGAAAGGCCCGCATTAATTTTACATTCGTTGACATCGATTACATATCACATTTCAACCAACCCACAGATAATCTCAACGCTACCAACTAACCGATCTCCATATAAATCACACCACTCTTGTAAATATAAAACGTAAAGACCAGAGTCCTATAGTCTCGCTTATCCGAAACAGATTCCACTTGGGGTATACGACAAAATAGATACAACACATGGACGGTAAACGAATCAATACTTATATGCCCTACGACATGATCTGACTGTAATTTAAATGACGCTCAACCTTTTACCGACGTCATAAAATATATGCTGTACCTGGCATGGTGATGGGAGAAATAGTATACCTCCAACATGTAGCCTAATGATCAATACTATCGATTACCTGTCAGTCTGTCCTTACACACAGATAGACGAATGAGCGCTGCCCGAGAAACTTGTGATCAAGTGTCTGTAAAATAATGTGTCTTGTAGATAATGAGGTCAGTTAAGATGCAAAATGTGTTATTTATTGAACGAGCGCATCTACACTATTGATTAGGTTCGTAATGAGGTCATGAGTAAATTACTCTTTCAATGTCATAAATTTCAGAAATACATATGGTGAAATGTTCGGTTTACTTTCTGATTCTTTGGTACGTAAAGGTATTAATTGTAACGCTGGACAACGGAAAGGTCACTTACAATTAGTGGACAGTGGTCACTTGTGTACAGTGGCATCCACACGGAACGATGCAACGTAGATGGTTGGTGTTGATGCATGATTACCCATACTTAAAGTCGGCTTGTATAAAATACTCCCTTTGAATAGATATTAACGTTTATGGGTAAAAGGGAAGACATTTGTTTTAATATGAATAAAAGAGATAAAACACTTCCCGTTATTATAAGAAATAGTAGAATCCATTGTACGATTCCGACTATATCATCAGCATGTGTTTACGAATCACTATCACACAGTGATGATACCAGGTGTTCTCGAAAAGGTGAGCGTATCCTGCCTCGTCACAAACACATGCAAAGACAAGTTAAGTGTTCACCTGAAAATAGCAAGGGAATGTGTAAGTCTAAAACAATTGGGAATGACATCGGACTTCACATTTGTCACTGATATGTCATCCACGTGTCTACCATAAAACCTTTGGACAGCTTTACTAAGACTCTTGATTGTTGTGACCCTGATCACACAACCTTTGAGCAAGACTGGTATGACGCTTTTTGAATCATTCGCAAGACCATGCTCTATTGTACCTAAAACGTTGTGAAATGTAGACACGAGAGACTGAAACTGCTGACATGTTGCTCGACATGAATAGAACCTTGACTACTGGAGGTTGAAGTTGATTAATCATGTATCACAGATTTTTTGTGTCACTCTGAATCTTTATGAAATATATGAAGCGGTCTGCTGGTATCTTTTATGTCCAGCTCATGTGTGTAAAGAATGATTTTATTTATACGATGATCTTTTTACTGTACAGCGTTGAGATTATTTATATGGGTGGCTCTTGTGAAGTGTGACTCAAAGGTGGACATTCAACTTACGTACTATGTTCAAATTTTTAACTAAAACGAGGCACGGGTGGCCCAGTCGTCTAAGGCGCCGCGATTAGCTGTGCAGAGTTGCGTCCCTTGGGCACGCCAGAAACCTATGATTGTGGGTTCGAATCCCGGTTCGCCCCGATTATGTTTCTAGGTTTGTCAGCACCATACTTGTGCTCGTGGGTTTCACCAAAGTGGTAAACGTTTGAGACCTGCATCACTTCGGGCTTTCCTCCCACATTAAGCTCACACGCCGTGATATAACTGGAATACTGTTAAAGCGGCGTTTTACCAAACTCACTTACTCACTCACTTAACAAAAACAAAAGTAACATGGAAGACGCGACATGGAAAATCCGTACGTCATATACCACCTCATTTGTGGTACCACCTCAAACATTGTTATTGACGTGTTGCCTTTTTTAATAAAAGGTTTTTGAAATCCTTTTCTCTCATAATTCCTCTAATGAAGGTTCTGTCCAGTGAGTGTATGTACACATGTAACATATGAAAGGTATATGCCCTACAGAAGGGAAACAAAAATAAACTATTGTCTGCACGTCTGGGATAGCCATCATTACGATATTCTATCGAAGTCAAGGTTTCATCAATGTCCATATGTTCAGTCATCACAGACGTAGGCAATCGGCACATGGTATAGGTGAGGTGAGGTGAGGTGAGGTGAGGTGAGGTGAGGTGAGGTGAAATTGGGTTTAACGTCGCGTCCAAGATTATTGCACTTATATAGCGACGTGCATGCACGTGTATGTGTGTGTGTGTGGCTGCTTGTACTAGTCCGGACTGATGCCGATTTATAGTGCTAGCCCACTGGGATACCATGCCGCAGTTTAACATGAATACCCCACTCGGACACAGTATACTGACTCCGAGCCGACCAGTCCTTGTTTTAGCCCCTTAATGCCGAGCGCCAGACAGGGTAACAACAAGTACCATCTTTTAGCGTATTTTGGTATGACGCGGCCGGGGATCGAACCCCGGACCTTCCGCTCTCCGGGCGGACGCTTGGTATAGCAAGTATAATGTCGTCTTATGCATAGATGCCAATAATGTAAAACAAAATACCTTTCCTAATTTGCATGGCCTCGTACAATACACATTGCCAAATTTCCTATCATATCAGTATAGTCAATGGACATCAATAGACTGAATGTGAATGCAAAATACAAATCACGCAAGGTGACATAAGTCATAGAAACAAGCATACAATGATAGATACACGTCTTCTACAAAACCAGGTTTAACCATTACAAAGTCTCTCTTGTCTAGAAATATTAATGCATGTTTTGTGAGCAGCAGTCAATTTCCGTTACCATATCGCAGCCATACATACACATTATTAATCTGTGTTTACACCTTTCGTCCATAGCAGGGAAATTAGACATGGATCCATTTCTACATGTGTCACAGCTGTTATTGTCAGAAAAAGGTCACGTATTGTGATATGCAATGACAATACAGGACACAAATGGTCTACTCTGCCAATGTTGTCCCAATTTCCGCGTGACACTGTGCCACGACCACAGGATCCATAGCATTGGACGGTCCATATGCAAAGGGAAATCGATGTCTAACCTAATCCCAGCATTACGGGTCCTTGTATTCAAAGCCATGCTGTGACTGAATTGAGTTGGCGTCCATACTAATGTTTGTAAATTGATAAATTCTATTATCTATTTTGTCCCGGTGCTATCTTCATAGACCTCCTGTGTTCGGATCTGAGTTGAGAGCTTCTTTAAACTAATTACCTACGCATGTGATTGTTGATAAGAATGGCAAACAGTTTGGGATTAGTGTACTACTCGTACAGATATTGGCTTCCTGGGAAATTGAAATAGAGCCAGTCTTCTTTCAAACCTTGTATCTTTAGATAAACCACATTTTCTGAATTTAACGACTCTTTAACAACCACGTTTAACCTGATGTCTGCTTGGAATGTTGTTAGATTGGATAACAGTATATTAATGCGGAAAACGCCCATTAACTTTCTGTGCTATATTTGTCAACATTCAACTAAAGTTTCCTTTGTTAGGAATCTAAATGTTGTACTGCTGACAGAAAGATAATTCCATTGTGACGTATTTAGCCCACGTGTTATTTTCACTCTTCCAGCTATTTAGTACGTCTCGTTGGCTCTCTTTAAGGCATTGTCATTTTCCTTTCAGAGTCCCTGCCATCGGAATAAAGGTCTTAGCCTTTTGTATTCACATTGCCAGTGTTATGCCACGTCGTCATGTCGATGTTAACGCGCAAAGGGACATTAGTCCGCCCGAAGAGAGGAACCATAAAAAGGTCACAGGTCACTCGGACCAGATCCGGTGGAACCGGAAAGGATGTGTCACGTGGTCTAGAGGAAGCGGACGGGTCCCCGGGCGTACCTACGTCACCAGGGAGTCAGGACGTGGTGACGCAACCCCCAGGAAAGTCGAGTGTGGTGGTGAGTACTGATGTTGAGATACAGCCTTGATAAACAACAGTTGCAAGGACATGGGAAATAACTTAACCATCGAACGCTCATTGCTGGCGATGGCTTTTTTTAATGGATAAAATTGGACATTACATTTAATAAAATTAATCAAATTCAATACGTTTCAAAAGACAGGAATTTGTATTAACTCCGCTTCATACGAATATTCTACTGCGTGTTTTCTTGACGTTTTCTGTTCCTTGGCCAGGGGGCACGGGTGGCCCAGTCGTGATTCGCTGTGCAGAGATGCGTCCCTTGGGCACGCCAGAAACCTATGATTGTGGGTTCGAATCCCGGTTCGCCCCGATTATGTTTCTAGGTTTGTCAGCACCATACCCGTGCTCGTGGGTTTCATCGAAGTGGTAAACGTCTGAGGCCTGCATCACTTCGGGCTTTCCTCCCACATTAAGCTGACACGCCGTGATATAACTGGAATACTGTTAAAAGCGGCGTTAAATCCAACTCACTCACTCACTCACTCACTCACTCACTCCTTGGCCAAATTTCATTAAACTCAGAAATCTCAAATATACTTTGAGATAACAACTGTGGCCTGCTTCACAACGCGAACTTAGTGCTACGGCTATCGTAAGCCTATGATGACGTATAGCTGCCGCGGTAGTCACGGCGTTAGGATCTCCTTTTGAAATGGGCCCAGGATCTCTCTGTGATATTTGAGGGCACAAGCATTAACTATAATCAGGGTCTGTACTATGTATTGGTATTCATATCCTGAGACCCACCAAAAGGTAAAGGCGGTTAGAAGTTATTAAAATAACTACAATTTACATCTCAAAGACAAGGTATCTGATCATCAAGTTCCTAATGATAAAGTCAAGTGTCTGTTATGTATATGAAATAATTCACCTAGAGATAAAAATACATTTTTAACATCGGATGAATTTTGATCTTTAGAGTAATATGTTTTATTAGAGTGCTGCTTCTACTACTACTACTACTACTACTACTACTACTACTACTACTACTACAGCTACTACTACTACTACTGCCACTACTACTGTCACTATTATGTACTAAAAACCAAATCGCGATTTTGATCCACTGCTACTACTACTACTACTAGTATTGATCTTCAGCAACCCATGCTTGCCGTAAGAGGCGACTAACGAGATCGAGTGGTCAGGTTTGGTGACTTGGTTGATCCATGGGTTGTATCCCAATTGTAAAGATGATATATACCCATGATGTCATCCACTGGATTATCTTGTCCAGACTCGATTATTTACATATATGACTCCTCATATAGCTGAAATATGGCTGACTGTGGCGGTAAAGAAACAAACAAAAATCAACAAGAATAGTGGTGACAGACCTGGAATCTTTAACTGGGATGACAACCAATCATCAGCTGATCCTGGTAAGGCTAAGGGATGTAATCCAGCCAAACGAATAACGGCTCTTTAGACTACTGGGTCATCCGTGCCTACCTTCATACAAGTGATGCGAGTGAGTGGAGACATACAACGTTTTCGCAGTCCTGATTCGGTCAACGGAGAACTCCTATACATTAAGCCACCGATATTGACAATTTGTCCAGAGAGACTGTCTACATGTGTAATTGCCCAATGTCTGTCTTCTTGCGTGCTGTACATAGCCTTAAAGTACATGCATTTCAGGTTGATTTCAGAGGTTGGTAACATCGCTTTACTCTCTCACACTCAGTAAACGTGACTTAAGGTTAATGGTGAAAGATCAGATCAGAATATTCATTATACTGGTATGTCATATATTAGCTGATATTGGATATGTGGTTAGTCTTTGAATTCATATGATTATGGAAAGGGTTTTGTAGCTTTATTTGGTTAGTGTTTACTTTATATCCACATAAACATCTTTCTCTTCACGCTCACTTACACGATTGGCGGTGTGGTAACCTAGTGGTTAAAATGTTCACTCGTCGCACGGAAGACTCGAGTTCGATTCAACATATGGGTACGACGTGTGGAGCCCTTTCTTGGCGTCTTCCCTTTGACGGTGCTGGAATGGGGATGAGTGGGGCTTAAAAAATCACGTTTCATGAGTTGTTCTTGACGCAACACGTGGCTCAACGCAAAAAACATTCGGTCGGAGTGTGTTTCCAGACCATGCATTCCACCAGAGATCCATTCCACAATGTACAATGTATGAAAGGCAACCCGGTGTTCCCCATATTGATATAGTTGGGGTATTGTTGAAAGTTGCCTGAAATTACTCACTCACTCATATGTCCTATCATTAACATTTATCAGACTTTAAACAGTGATGTCATTGCATGAGTTAGGGGGACAGTGGGGATCCGGGTTGGAGTATAATTACCCAGCAATGTATGTTGGCCATACGAGACGACCTAATGGATGGAGTGGTCAAGCTGAGTGGCTTGGTTGATCATGCGTCATCGTACCCCAACAGTGTGTACCGTTGCTCATATGTCAATACCTGGATTGCCTGGACCTGATTATTTACAGGTGGAATATTACAGTGCGGCGTTAAACAACACAAACAAACGAGAAGAAGTGATTGAGTATGGTTTTACACCGCTTTTAGCAATATTCCAGCAATATCACGTCGGGGGACACCAGAAATGATCTTCACATAGTACCTATGTCGGGAATCGAAACCGGGTCTTCGGCGTGATGAGCGAACGCTTTAATCACCAGGCTACCCGACCGCCCCCTAAAAGAAGAAGAAACAATGAGGGAGAGATTGGGCTGCAGAAGGCCTACCTTGAATATGTCCATAAATACTTATAATATAATGAAATATGTATAACACGTCGACGCTTGAGAAGAATCAGTCTCGATTATCTGCTGAAACAGATGCCCGTGAGCGTAAAAGGCAAGTTGTGTTGAACATTATTGGAATGGATCATTGAAAATCAGTGATGGCACAAGGTGATCGCATAAAGGGAATGAAACGTTAAAAAAACATTCAGCTCTCGACATCTTACAAAACAAAACAAGAGCAAAAAAGAATTCGATAAATCCTCAAATCGGTTCATTTCCATCTAACTGGAAACCTGTCGGCCATGTTTTGTATTCAAGAACTTCTTTTTCTCAAAATCACATTTAGCAGCACGTGTAAATCCGCCTCGGTGCGCACCAATAACCAATCTTTCCAATTACTAATCTTTCATAATATTATTATTGACGAGAACTTGATTATGTTTGGGGATGTATCAATCCTCAGGAATTTCAAAGGTATAGAACAATTTAAAAATTACGTGTGTCGCAGGCGACTTTTGGATGGTGTCGAGATACACACTTTGACGTAAAATTAATAGACGATTCGTTGACAGGCATGACATTGAGCTGACAAACTGGTATATAGAGCCTAAGGCAACATAGAGCAGATGCTGAGACAGGTGTTCAAGTCGATTCAGATCTTTCCAATTATTAATCTTTCATGATATTAATGGCGACGAGAACTTGATTATGTTTGGCAATGTAACATACTACAAATACTACTACTACTACTACTACTACTACTACTGACCCGTGAAGATTCTGGGGTAGAATAGGTCTTCAGCAACCCATGCCTGCCGTAAAGGGTGACTATGCTTGTCGTAAGAGGCGACTAACGGGATCGGGCGGTCAGGCTCGCTGACTTGGTTGATGCATGTCATCGATCCCAATTGCGTGGATCGAGGCTCATGATATTAATCACTGGATTGTCTGGTCCAGACCGCCGTCATAAAGCTGGAATATTGCTGAGTGCGGCGTTAAACAACCAAGCAACCAACCAACCAACTACTACTACTACAGCCACTAGTACTATTGTGTAGTAAAATCCAAATCGCGATTTTGATCCACTACTACTACTACTACTACTACTACTACTACTACTACTACTATTACTGCTGCTGCTGCTGCTGGTACTACGGCTTAGGGTAGGCTCCAATCGACTTAATGGATCGGATGGTCGTGCTCGATGAATTTGTTGATTGTGTGTTAACATACCCCGAAGGCGTTGGTCCTTGCACATCTTGCACATAATATCAATCACTCGAATGTCTGGTTCAGAGTAGATTATGTACAGGCATGAATGTCATGGATATATCTGAATGCAGCGTTAACACCACACAACGACAGAAACAACAACAGCTACTACTACTACTACTACTACTACTGCTATTAGAACAACTACTACTACTACTACTACTACTACTACTACTACTACTACTACTACTACTACTACTACTATTCTACTATTAATGCCACTATAATGCAGTAAACTACCACGTAGCCCTGTAAGGTATGTTTACAAAATATTTATTTATTCTAAAAGGTAAGGCATTGTTCGTAAACAAAAATGCGAATTTGAGCCTTCAGAACAAATGATATTATTATAATGTATTTATGATAATGAAAACAAAATTCACCAGTAGCCTTCGTTCAAAATAATATCTGCATATCTTTTTTTATAAATAAAGTCATGAACGTGGTTTTCTTAAAGATAAATGTCTTAGCACATCATAATTGATGATATTAAACACAAAACGGTGTAGAATAACGAAAGCCTGTACCAGAATGTTTATGTGAGGTATGGGAGGTGGGTATTGGAAAATCCAAGATGGCTGTTACTGACGGTATACAGTTTCATATATGGTCAGTAACAAGTTATTGACGGTATACGGGCTTATATGGGGGTTTGTAGTTCTGCTCTCTGGTTGGCCAATCTCATTTTGAGGCATGATAATAATGGAAATTAAGCTTCACTTGCCTGGATGTAATTGAGTTGTTTTGATACCTCATTCACAAGCAAATGTTTCATAAGCATTACTTTTCATAATGTAACAACCGTTATTAACAGGAGTATTGATAACCGAATTTCAAGTAGAAGACTACAGTCACTGCCATTATATTGGGTACATCGACATCACGATATCAGTGCATTACAAGTTACAAGTCGGAAAGGGAGTATCGATTAGTTATTATGTATCCATAGAATATATGTATGTGCATATAAATTAC